AACCTTCACCTGCTGCGTCTCCCTCTTCACCTCCATCACAGAAGAAGGTTCTCTGCAGTCCGTGAGCAAAACACTCAGGGGCCTCTTCACCTCTACGAGCAGACCGACTGAGGGGCAGTCGCAGGTGTGTCTGCACTTCTTGTTGCGTGTCTGTGTGTGTGTGTGTGTGTTTGTGTGTTCTTAAACATGTACAGAAAGCTGCAGCAAACACGTCTCGACTCTGTGATTCTCAGCCGTCAAGAAAATTTCCCTTGCAAATAAACCCCCTCATCATTCTGGCAATGCCGTCCCGAAAACCGTGTGCTCACGCTGGCACTGCAGGGATATAAATATTTATTCTTTCTTTTTGCAGGGTAATTTTTTCATTATTTAGATCCGCTTTCTATTCAGGCAGATACACACTTTATCTGATTGACTGAGGCACGCGAATACACAACTGCTTCCTCATCCTCAGACTCCCTGAAGTCGAGCATCATTCTTTCAGCCTTGTCTCGTATGGAAATATGGAAGCAGAGACTGGAGGTAGCGTTATTATTCAGCTTGGCGGCGAGCCTGGCTCACAGGGAAAGCAATGCATGTCATCCGTTTATATGAGCAGGAATGAAAACCACATCCACAATAAGCATATGCTTGTAAGCTCGCAAGATTAGAATTTGATTTCTGTTGTGCCCACTGCTGTGGCTTGTGAATTGCCAGTCTGTTTCTGTATTATGTTTTTGGAGTCAATCCTGCTCCTGCACAGGTTATTGTTTTGGTTTTTTTCACAGCAGCAAGCCTCAAATCTACAGCTGTGAATATCAAACAGACGCATGGTGGGATGTCCGCATGGGTGCATTGGTGTGGTACATGTCCCATTCTTGTGAACGCAGTGTCTCAAGAACACTTCTTCCAACTTCGTACAAATCAAGGAACAAAACACAGATATTTATTTATCCTATAAAGTTTCGGTGAAGCTCTTCTGGACTTTAGCTCAACGTGCAGCTGAATTCAGAGGAACAGAAATGACAGGATATGTTTATTAAATCATCAGTCACAAACATGTCATCTTTCGTTTGTCTCTGTCTTTTCTTACTGTCTCCAGGAGCCCTGTCCTCCTCCCCTGTCGGACACAATGACACCAGAAGAGGTACGGTAACGATGGAGGGACGAGGGATTTGTAAGGTTTTGTTGTTTTAAAAAAAATTGTTGTATAACATTTTCGGTAATTGCGTTAAAGCAACTTCCAGTCTCAGAAAAACTCAGGAATGGAACCAGCATAGATTGTAAATTAAGATGGACGACAGGACAGCTGCTCAAAAGTGAAGCCAAATCATCTTGATTGCCCCCTGGTGGTTGGCTGCAGTCGTACATGTCTAAGAGTTTCTCCTCTGCAAGTCACTGAAGTTCAGCTAGAAATCTGAAAGAGTCACTTCTTTCTAAAAGTTAACTGAACTGTGAAGTCAAATCCATTAAATCTCAATGTCAGCGTTCAAATTCATGTCTCACTTCAGTAACAGATCTGTCAAACTTCAGGAGGCTCAGAGTTGGGACACTTTTTAACTGCGATGTGAACGCAGCCACAAATGATTTATGTAACTGTTAATGTTTTTGTATATATTTAATAATTTGCACAAAAACAAATCCTGGCCCAACAAAAGCCTGAATTTGTGTTGTCACGACTCTGAACTGATGCCAGACCGTCGACCTCTGTGACCTCTGTGACCTCTGTGACCTCGCTTCTCGTTCGCTGCCGCAGATCAAAGAGTGGGAAGAGGGCGAGATGGACAAGCCGATGGAAATCGATGAGATACGAGTCGACCCCTCCCCTTTCCAGCTGGTGGAGAGAACGTCGTTGCACAAGGTGAGCGAGGAAAGGCGAACAGGGGTCACAGATAAACCCCGAAGGATATTCAGGAAGGATGTAGTGTGGGAAGGATTTTTAAATTGTGAGATATAAACTGCGTGGTCTTTTTTTCTCCAAAAACATGAATCAACTTCTGATTTATTAACGTTCCGTGCTCTGAAAGGTTGATAAGAAAAAGGCTCCAGACCCAATGAGACGAAATAACAGCCCAATGCTTTAATGGAAAAACTCTTCATTTAAAAAAGGTTCATATCTCAAGTAACAGTTTGAGAAACAGAAGAAAAATTGTCAACCGCTTCCATTTTCACTCAAATGTTTTATTCATCATTTCATAAATTGCATGAAATTACTGCAGGTGTCCTGTGGTTGATTTTTATTGTAAAGTGTAAACTCTCCATGAACGAGTTTGTAAATGGAGTTCGGCACCTCGAGCAGCTTTGTTGACGTTCCCACATTCGACTGTACATCGTTTATTTCCTGTAAAGTCTCATTCAGCCGGGGAGGTGACTGAGGTTCACTAACACGCTGTGGTCTGAGTGAATGGAGACGGACACGGCAACTTCACATTTCTTTTTTTTATTGAGTGAGAAAAGAATCTTTATCATTGTCGAGAGCTGGTGGAGGAGTCTACATGAGGAAAGTTTAAAATATATATATATAAACAGAATTCAGTTTTTAAAGTCCTTGTTTTTACCTTTTTGTGTGCGTTAACATTTATTTGCTCAAGGACGATTCGATGGTTCTATATTCGATGTTTCCAGAATATTCTGCTTATTCCTGTGATGGAGGGGCCTTGGGATTGAGGCGCTGACGCAGACAAAGAGCTCGTCCACAATATGAGCAGAACACTTTCCACCTGGAAACGCGCTCAAGGACTTTTTCTTTTTTTCTGGGTTCACATGGAGCCTCGGGCCGGTTTGCTCTCATCTTTTCTGTTTGTGTGCGGCTGTGTCTAGACAGAGCTGACAGGGGGAAGCACGGAGCCTGTAAATCGTCTGAAGTCGCAGAACGATGTGAAACAAAAAAGGCCGTCCTGCTCCGAGGGGTTCTGCTTTGTCGTAATTTGTCGCGTGACCTTCTCACTCTGTCTCCACAGACTCACACCTTATTCTCACTGCTGGGGCTCAGTCATGCCTATGTGACCAGTATCGGCAAACTGGTGGGTGTGGTGGCGCTGAAAGAGGTAAGAAACTTAAAGTGTGAGTTCATTTTCAATCTCTCTCTACGATCTTTCTTCCTTTCCTAACACTTCTCCTCCTTTCCTTCCTCCTTCCTCCAGCTCCAGAAGGCCATCGAGGGCTCCACGCGCTCCGGCGTCCGCCTCCGTCCTCCTCTCGCCAGCTTTCGCGACGTCAGCAACCACAAATCTGTCTCTAAACCTCCTTCCTCCTCTCCCACTGCTCCTTCCTCTCCGACCTCCACCTCCCCTCCCTCGGCTCCGACTGTCCCCCTGCCTCCCTCCTCCTCTCCGCCTCTCCCCCACCATGAGGGTGAGACGGAGGTGTGGATTGAGGGCGTGACGGGGGAGGCGGAGGAAACGAGCAGCGAGGGGGGCGAGGGCATTTTCTTCACAGCCAGTCGGAGTTGTAGCTTCGACAGCAACCTCAACCTCCCTCCTTCCTTCACTCCTCCCCCAGTACCTTTTTCTTCCACTCCTCCTCCTTCTCCTTCCTCCATCCCTCTCTCCACCCTGAGGTCTCTTCAGGGACTCCTTGATGGGGGTGAAGACAGCGATGATGAGCCAATGGTTTAGATTAGATGAGCTTGACTGTTTTTTTTTATAATGAATCTTTTTTTTAATGGTTTGAGTTTTTTCTTGTTCTTAATCTGTTGCTCTGGTCGTTGGACACTTACATTTACCTCTTTTTATCGCACTGACACTGATTCTCATTTCACAGACCTCCACCTTGTTCTTCCCTCTGCCCCGCCCTCTCTGTCTGTCCCCCTCATCAGCTCTGCGTCTGTACAGTTGTTTTAAACCGGCCGTCTCATTGTTTTTCCCACCTACGCTCGCGAGGGTTAAACTTCCCAGTTGTCAGTGTCCTCTTTTCTAAATCTTCACAGTTTCCCTCAGGGTTTGTTTCTTGTCAGGGATTAACAGCAGCCAAAATAACAAAACAAACCAATGTAGCACAGCGAAACTCATCGCGTCATTGTTAGTGTCCTGCTCTGTGCCTTGCACACGGACAATTGAGCCACCGACTGACTTCTTTACCTCCTGAGTCATAATATTAACATCAAATTGTGAAGAGCTGATTGAAATCAACACGTTTCAACCTTAAACCAGCAGCTGAGTGTCACCCGGAGGGTCTGTTCTCTGTAACTCTGCTGAGTGGGTTCCATCTCCTGTGAGAAGAAGTGACTGAGAGTCACAGCTTCAACTGTCACAATCAGATCAGTTCAAAACACTGAGACGTTATTAACAAGCAGAGTTTATCTCCAAAGTTCAGCAGGAAACTTTAAAACGTGAAGAATTCTGAACAGAGTTTGGTGGATTTGTGACAGCAGCAGCTCTTCTGGGTCAGGAAGCAGAGGATCATGGGTAATATCCACCATTCAGTTGTGTTCTCAGAGCCCATGGGCTATTGTCTGATGAAGAATTAGCCTCTGGGGCAATGGGCAGTATTTTCGGGCGTGGCAGAGACTCCTGCAGGACTCCGGATAACGAGACAACAAGTTGTGCAATTGCGTTGTTGCTTGTGCTTTAAAATCACGTCTGAGGAATTCATGTGTAACAAAACGCTCTCATTTCCACTGATTCTCTTTGGATGTCGTTCAGAGCGTATTTTACATCTGTGTACTGTTAAAATATTCTGTTTACAGCCGTGTGCAGCCCGAGCTGAAAGTGAATCCCTGTAGTTCTGCATTACCTCATCGTTTGTGTATCTTTTAAAAAAGGTTTTGAATGGGATGAGAGCAGAGGCTGTTGATTTTATTTCATTTTTTCTAAACTGGCGACAGACCATCTGGACAGCAGGCTAATGGAGCTGCTCAGTCCAGTGTGGAAGATTGGCCAAAAGCCCCAAAACGACCTCCAAATTGCGAGGCGACCTTGTGGATGCAGCCTCAGAGCTCATCTCATCACGGTTAAGTTGATGGATGGTGGAGCTGAAGGCGGCTGACGACGGACAAAACCCCAGTTTACCCAACGAGGCTGCCTCCCAGATTCAGCACACATTACTACTCTAGATCATTTGAACTTGGAACGAGATCTTGTTTTACAGATTTTTACCCTTTAACCATCCTGGTAATTGATTCTTTCGCTGCATCGTGGCTGTGTCTCACTGTAAAAGCATCATATACGACCATGTTTGTGTAACTGCAAAACCGAAACACTTAACAAGAGACACGTTCGGCTCCTAGGCCGTAAATAAAGATGCATCTCCCTTCCTTCCTTCCTTCCTTCCTCCCTCCATCCTTTTCCTTCATCGCTCTTATCTCCTCATCATCCTCTGGACTCCGTTTCTCAGGTGCTGTTTTTAAAAGTCTTTAAACCTGCAGATTTATCGAGAAGCTCTTCTGTACGTGTCTGTTTCTTAAGGGGCGGGGTTGTTTTTATTCGTCTGTCTGTGGTTGTGGTTAATGTATTTATTTATTTATCTTTTAGGTGACTCAAATGTTATCTCTCAACTTTTTAAAACTGTGAACTATGTAGGTTAATAAAGTTTTATCAAGTGAAATACCTACATTTTGTTCCTGGCCCTCATGTTTTTTATTTTTTTTTATTTAAACAGGACAGACCAGAACACAACACAAACGTTTCTTTGGACCAAGAACTGAACTCAGGCGAGGTAGGATATAGAAATACTGATTTTCAAATTCAAGTTTTTTTATTATAGCATTATTTAAAACATTTTAATGTTTCCATAGATGACAATAAAACAAAAAATATCCTACGTCTGTTTCCGCACATCTTTAACATCTAAATTGAATTTCAGATCTAAAATAAGTTTTTAAATTTAATTGGCTTCAGATATCTTTCGTGTTCACTGTCTAACTTCCATTTTTGCCTTAAAAGAACAGTTGATTGCTTTACATCTTTATTTATTTTGACAGGGTGACAGGATTTTCATATCCGCCTGTGGTTTTATTTCTTAATTGTCTCGTTATTTCAAAAAAACGTAGAATAGCTGTCGTTTCTTTGATTTTATCTCATGTGTCATTTTCAGGCATTTATTCTCTTCTTTTATTTTTTTTTATGACGAAATGTATTTTATGATGTGGTTGACATGAAGTCTGCCGAGGTAATTCAAAGTAATTGAACACCAAAGTTTCACTTCCACTCAAAAAGTGCTTGATTATTTTTTTGCTGTTGTCAATGAGGTGTCTCTTATTTTAAACTGCGGACCCTCTCGTGTGATTCAAGTGCGTCTTGGTGCTCGGACGTTTGATTTCCAGGACGAGATCTCTGAGCAGCGAGAGGACAAACAGAGGACAGATGCTTATCGCAGCGGTCTGGTACATCGAGGTCTCGGCCACTGGAGCGTAAGAGTGAATCATTCTCTCTAGCAGCTGTAGCTCGAGACTCGAAGGAGAGATGATGGTAAAAGTAATGTTTTATACATTTGTCTATAGGTTACGTCGTCCCTTGGCTCCTTGTCTCACTCAGAGTTAGTGATCTTAGGGTTGGAGTTAGAATCTCTTTGAATTTATAACCAAACATTTGTAAAAACGTGTTGCTTTGACTTCCTCTGCAGTGCAACGTGGTTTTGTTTATCAAGCTCGATTTTCACGACGAAGTAGCTGAAACAAAAAAAACACACCATTTGCCGCTGGCTTTGTAAAAAGTGGAAACGCAACAAACAAACACACAAAAGCCTCAATGAGAGCTGAGAGACGATAATAGCACTCAAATGAACGAGGGCACTTATCTGCCTCCAGACCCGGAGTAACGAGCGAGGCTTCTGATCAAAACAGTGACGAGGGTTTTAGTAGAATTGGTGACGACAGGGAATCGCCTGCAGCTCTGTGAATAAAACCTCAGAAGCATGAACACAAACAGAAACCAGTGTGATCAGAACCACCTGCAATGACTGAAACCGTCCATGGAAAAATATATTTACCCCGAAATGGAGTTTTTAAGAAGATTTGACTTCACTTTTGGAAGCTGTCGTGTCGTCCTTGTTAGTTTTTAGTTTTGTAAAGCACCTTGATGATGATGATAATAATAACTGGTAGTAATGAAACTGTATTTGGTGGAACAGAACAGCAGCCAGAAGAATGTTTCCCAGAATATATATATATATATATTTTACACACAGACAAAGCTACACTCATACAAACATACATACATTACATACATACAGTCTTACATTCATACAAATACATGTCAGTTTATTGGATTTTTTGTCTTTTATTATAAAAAGCGATTTGATATGTTATTACTTTGTATACTGTGTTACACTGGTAGGGCTAGGTCACTGTTAAAATGCATGCACTTTCCTTTTGGTTGTGTCCAGATCACGCGTTTGCAAATGACCCGGAGTGCACGCCACACGCTCCGAGTACCACATTCGACCGGGTTCACAGCATCACAGCAGCTCAGACAAGCTGTCAGTCAAAACAAAACACATATAGAACATCAGACGACTCCCTGACCAGGTTTATTTTATTCTGCTGCAGGGTTTTCTCACATCACACACGCACACACTTCTGATGCACTCCGACTTATTTGCAAATACTGTTTGACCCAACGTCTGGTCGTGTCCATGTTGGTTGTATTGCACTGAATTATTTTTAAACTAGGCCCTTTCTTCGTCTTGTCCTACGTTGTCTTTTTTGAGGATTTCACATCCGCCTGTTCGGCTTTTGAACCGAGAATCGATCTCCTCCTCACGGCAGTCACTGAATTTAAGTTCGTCACCTGCCACGGAGTTTATTGGTTCGTCGTCTCATATTGTTATATTCCACATTTCCCGTGTTAACCTTTGCGGCGTCTTGGCATCAAGTCTGTGTACATCCAACGTCTCCATCTGAAAAAAGTCTTCTCCCAGATCCTCTGACTCAAAGTGGGTAAATAGTTGGGAAGGGGTTGGGATAATATCTTGATTGATTGATTATTGGAGTATTTATTTCCTGTCTGTCAGTTTGTGACCATTCAGTTGGTCGCAACAACAACGACAGAGCCCTCCTCCGCCTCTTCGTCCTTCTCCTCCAGTGATTGGACGACACAGGGCGTGACGTCGAATGGTGTCCTCTCCTTTGTGAATTCGACGCTCTGTGCTGACAGTCCTGGGCTTGAACCTCTCGTCGAGGGGGCCTCCTCCCTCAGCGGGGACGGGGTCAAAGAGCACGGCTCCGGCTCTAAGGTTAATGTTACCTCTTCTACCTGTCAAGAAAGGAAATGAAGGGTTTAAAAAGACAAGTTGAGCTGTGTCACAGGTAAGTAAATCTTTGTTCTCCATTTTTATTACTCCTTTTATCTCATGTCGGCATCTTTTTAAATTGATCACCTTCATTTGAGTCTCTCACGGGGCGAGCCTGGCTCCTTAAAATGTCTGAAGATGTCTCAAATTCAGATTGGAAGCTTTTTAATGTTTTTGCACATCACCGTCAATTCCTCTACTCTGCTAAACCAAGAAGAATTAAAAGTATTGATTTGCACTGCGTCATTAATAAGTTAATCTGTGTAACACTGTTATCAACATGGAGAAATGCAGGTTCAACGAGAAAGTATTTCAATTTTGGGAAGATGGGGATCAAGGGGGTGCAGTCTAAAGCTTTGTAGAGTTTTTTCTCATTTGACCACGCAGCAGGAGGCGGGACATGACGTATAAATTCTGCTGTGTTGTTGTTTCCAGCTCATCCACACCGGCGTCGGCCCTCATCACCGAAAGCTCTGGAACCTCCTCGTCTTTCATCAGCACTCGCTCACTGGGCAGGTTCCAGTAATTTTTCTGTCTCACCTTCGTCAGCTCCTCCTCGTCCTCTTCGTGCTGCTCTGGGAAGTCTTCAGACTCTGTCTCGGGCTCCTCCCCGACCGTCTCCACCAGTCCTCCGACCATTTCAGCCATCAGTCCACTCAGCTGCCCGGCGATCTCCACCTGCAACCAGTTAAGTTGACAGATCTGTTGCTTGTTTTATCCTGTAGCTCTGACTGTAAGCTGGGGGTGGGTGGGTTTCAATGGTTTACTGGAATATTAATGTTTATTCAATCACCAACTGACACCAGGACTTCAGTTCCAGTGTGTCCTAACAGCAAAAAAAACTGAAAACACACAAAATACAAAAAGTAGGAGATGCACAAGCAGAAATGAGCTCTGCTCTGCCGTCGTCAGCGTAGTTTCCCTGTGCAGGAGTTCAGAAAGAAAAGGTCGGGCAGGAACAACAGACATAGATGCTGAATCCAAATGCCCAGGGTTGTAAACGTGTGGACCTTGCAGCATGCTACTCTGAAGACCAGTCAGACTTCAACCGAGCCACTACAGGCCGTCATGCAGACTTTTTTTTGGCAGTGCTCCATGCAGACTTCCAGCCTGTCTCCTACCTTTCCGACTTCCCTGGCAGCTTTTCCCATCATTCACTGCACTATTGATGTGTGCTAAATATCTCTGCTGATATCAACAAAGCCAGACCCAGAAGACAGAAAAAAAAACAGACAGATATGAAAGTCAGGGGTGACGGTTAAACAGCAAAGAAGTTATTCTGGTCCAGTTTAAAAACAAGATATTCCTTCCAAGACATGTGCATTCAACAACCTAAACCTTGTTTGGCAACAATAGCAAGAGAAGGCAGAATAAGACATGCAGTCATGGTGACTCTGTTGTTTCACTCATTCAACAACAATGACTAAAGGAGACCGTCCTGTTTTCCAGTGACTGTGTCTGTAGGCACGCAGCCCAGTCATTGCTTCTTTGTCAGATTAAATTTAACCACCGTCTCTTCTGCAGAGTCCCTAACTCCACCATTTGGATTCAGCGGTTGAGTTCGTACCTGGTGCGGCTCAATCTGCGCAGCTCCCCACAGGTCGGCGAGGCGAGGGTGGGTGGGGGGACAGAGGCTGTGGATGGTGCTGTTGGGCGTGGCCTGGAGAGAAGGGGAGCCACTGTGTAGCCTGTGCTCCATTGACTGACGTCGGCGAGAAGGGGAAACAAGAGCATTAATGAGGAGTCACTGTAAAATACGTTTATTAGGATTTTCTCAGATGATGAACGGGAACAATTAGGCTGAGGTCGTGTGGTTTCAGTAGAGAATCAACTATTTCTGTATCTTCAGTGGTTTTATTAATGTGTTTATCCCTGATGGAGATTATTGTTTCATGATCTGCATTGTTCTTTCGGCTTGATTGAAATTTCAGGGGCCTTAATGGTCCCTGGCGGAGGTATTCACTCTGCTGAGCGACGTTCTGGTTTAATTTTAAAACTTTTGTTCTTCCCTGGAACAAACACAAATGGCACCACCCACTAGAGATTTAAATCGGCCCCCACAGCTCCTGACATTTTCAGCTGCTCATCGATGAACAACAACAATGCCTCTGTGAGCTGCTGCATCACAATGTATTCCAGCCAGAAGTTTTAAAAGGCTCGTCGAGCCAAAACAAAATGACAAAGCACACAAAGTTTTATCCAGACTTTTGTAGGAGGACGATACTTTGGCTTTTGAGTCGTGGATGCAGGGAAACTTCTTGGCCTCTTATGCAGCGACTCTGAAAATGTCCTGATGACTTATTGAAAATCTTAATTATAAATGTAATGTAATATATTCAATGGTCGCCTTTACCGCACAATACACACCGTCAAGCGAACAAGCTCATTTCCATTGAGGTCTCGGATCAGCACACCTTTTCTGAGACGCGGTCCCTGACCTTTTTCAGGTTATTATTTCATAACCCTCTCTTATTTAATGAGCTCTCAGAACGTAGCGATGCCAGAGAAGTCAGCAGAGCTGAAAAAGTCTCCGGGTGTCACAGTTCATCATGACTCACTTCATTAGCAGAAGAACCTCCCAGCTGAAAGTCAACAGCTGATTTTTAAACCAACAAAAGCCGCACACACACACACAGACTTCACTTCCAGACATATTGAAGGAAAAGATTGATGCTGATTTAAAGCTGCCATATTTAAAACTGAGTGGATTTTCTTTCCTCAACATTTGGATGATATATGATGATGAGTAAAAGCCTGGCGTCTGTTCACCTTTGTAATTGATATGTTTTTACAACTTATGAATCATCTGGTGAGCGGATGAAATGTAATTAGACTAAAATGAGATTCACTGGGGATCATTTGTTTCACAGGTAGATGAGCAATGTTTCTGTACTTCAGCAGAAGCAGGAAAGAGTCCAGCGCGGTTTCATGTTCCTCCCACTACCCAGACACCAAAATATCCCAGACATGAGCAATGCCTCCGAGTCTGGTGCTTTAGTGATGGAGCCAAGTTCCAGCTGATACACTCAAAGACCAAGCTTGTCTCAGTGGTCGATCATTACGTCTCAAAACCACACTTGTAAGAACTACCTAAAATACCGTGTCCCATCTGCCAACATGGAGGAGACAGGGTTTGTGACCTGGGCAGCCAGTCACCAGGGGGCGATCATTGTGCCTTGGCTTCACTTGATGAGCTGCTGATTAACAGTCCATCCGTCAGTGGCGCTCTGCAGTGACGCTGTACTCACCTGTTGTTGTTGGTACTGCAGGATCTGCTGCTGGTAGTGGTGGAGCTGTTGGAGGTGTTGGAGCTGACTGTGCTGCTGCAGGGCGAGTTGAGCCTGGTGCTGCTGAATGAAACTCCCTACCGTGCCCTCGAAACCATCGCTGGGTGTTCCACCTACTCCGTTGCTGCCACCTAGAGCGTCCAGAAAAACTCTCAGTGTCCAGTGCTGTGGGAACGTTGTCTAGTTCTTAAGAGGCGGCGTAAGATAAGGTTTGATCCTCACCAGCAGCCATAATGTACGAGCCTGCAGCGGGTGAGGCCACGCCCGAAGGCTGGCTGGTGATCGGGTCCCAGGCATCTGAGGACGACAGGCAATACAGGCCCTGTGAGACGTAGGTGTGAGGCCAGACATCCGCAGAGGAGTGGTGGAGCACCTGGTCTGTACAGAGGAAACACATACATGTGAAACGAGAGGAAGACACGGAGAGAGAAACGGAGCCGTGGTCTCAGATATGTTTAGGTCTTAATTATACATTAACAATACTTCTGTTGTGCTTTTGAATTAGTTTTTTGTTTTGGGGGCACAGTTTATGACGTCTCTGTGGTTCTTCTCTCGGTGATACAGACATTAATATAAGATATTTACCTGCTGTAATAAAACTGCAAACAGACCAACATGGAACCGATCAACGATCATCTACAAAAACTTTCTGTTGTGAACTCGAGAGAGAACTTGATTGACTCTGATTTGTCGTTTCACGTGTAAATTCCGTTCATTATCGTCTTAAAGAAAAACTGGAGAAGAAAAACAGGCTTGTGGTGCATATCCAACTCCGTCATTTGAGACCTCGTGCTTTCTGACTCTAGTGTCTGCTCATACACTCAGATTTACTCTGTAAGTCAAACCTCAGACACTGAACCGTTCACTAGCAGCACAGTTTAAATCATATACATTCATAACAGGCATGACCCTGATCTTATTATAAAGCAACACACTGTAATGACTGTAATAGGAGGATGATTAGCTTATCTGCAGCGGTGTTGTTCTTCCAGTCAAACACTGTGGAGGGGAAACACCCCCCCAGTCCTGTATTAAGTAGTGTTTTAATCGTGTGTGTGTTGTGTTGCATGCTAGATAAAGCGCAGAGTGGAGCCCATATGGTGTTATTAATGAGAGCGGGGCTAAGTCCTTGTGCTAACCTACAGGATCCCTCGGGGCTCGGGCAGCGTTCCTCTTTGCTGAACACCAGCGAGAGCTAGAACTCAAATGGTTTACAGTGCGGTGTACAAGTGAACGCAGCAGGAACGTTTCAAATCATTTCTCCAGTTGTTTGGCTCGAAGTTATCTGGCTGTTTCCTGTGAGCAGAGTTTCCTCACCTCAGCTGAGAAAATGTCTGTGTCATCGTCCCACGTGCAACTAAACTAAGCAGATTTATGTGAATTTAAAATCAAACCCTCTCACAGCTTAACTCAACAGCTTAACATTTCACTTCCTTATTTAGTCTCTTAAAGATTTCGGTGGTCAATTTCTCTTGCACTCGCACACGCGACGCTCCGTCACAGGGTGTTGCGATATTTCAGAGATAACAGGTTGTCGACTGGATCTGTCGTTTGGAGGTTTTTTGAGAAGGTGCCCAGTATTCTGCAGAATTCTGCAGCTGTGTGCCTGACCTACAAAAGTCCTTTACCGCTGGATGGGGGAATCACTGACGTGGCTGTTTTTAGTTTCCAGCGGGGCTTTGTTTCCCCAAACTGTGGATCTACGCACGACAGAAAACACAGGAGCTGAATGTGGAGTCCAAAGATTCTCGACTGAGGCCGAGCATTCTTACATTTTGACATCTGTAGGTTTTTTCCAACCTCACACCGCGGCGGTAACCCTTGTAAGTCGCTCCCTTACGACATTCGCAGAGAGCTTGAAACTGTCGTACCTCTGCTGGTGATGCTCTCCTGGTTGACCTCGCTGAGGTGAGCAACGCTGCCCTGGTTGGAGCCGGCTTCCATACTCTCCCCGTCCATGGAGTTCCAGCCAAACAGAGTCGCCTCGGAGATGGCAAACTGCTGCATGATGCCTGAGGGCGGTGATATTAGCTGTGAGATTAACGGCAGCATGTAATGATAAGATCACTTAAGTCATAGAAACCCAATTAGAGATGCGGTGCGTAAAAATGAATTACAGTGGCAGCAGCTCTGCTAACACAGCAGTTAATTAGGGAGGAAAACAAACAGGAGGTAACAACCATCATTTACATATTAACACGAATGGATATCTGTAAATGTTGCAGAGAAATAACAGATGAAAATTGTTGTGTTTCAAGTTTTCTTAATATTATCTGAATACAAGACGCCATGTAAACATGTTTTCTGAAACACTATTCACCTTCACACGACCTTGACTTCTTGTGTTTTCCCACATTTTCCCTCACCTGCAGCAAAGCGAGCCTCCTTCTCGCCGTCGCTAAGGTCGCTGTACGCGTCGTTCTCCAACCTCCTCGCCTTCTCCCTCTGCAGGTTGCTGTGTCCCGTGCCTCCCAGCGGCCCCGCGGACGGTTTGCCCCAGCTCTGCCACTCGATCATGTGAGCGACGCGACCCTGAGCCATGGCGGTGGGCTTGGTCACTTTGTCCTTCATGGAGCGACTCACGCCTACAACAGGTACATGGGGGGGGGGGCAGGAGGAGCAGACCAGCAACACACACACACACACACACACACACACAACACGCACCAGACACACACAAACACTGTCAAAACTACTTTGTGCCTCTGCAGTTGACTACACCTCCTTCTGAGGCTCGGAGGGGAGGGAGAGTGATGATGAGAAACTGGGTGAAGTGTTGGAAATGTCAGCGAGGTAGTAAATGTATTGTTATGGATGATTTCAGGAAGGTTGGTGACTGGTTATGAGCTCAGCAGCAACTTTACCTTATTATTTATTTTATTAAAAATACATCTAAGTCTATGGGGATCATTAGAATCACTGTGGGTTCAGACGATAGCTGAGAGGCTTTCTACTTTCATTTTCATGTACGGTTCATGGTCTTTGCCTGTAAAACGATCTGATGTTGGTCTTAAAGATGTAATTTATCAGTTAAGATTAAGATAGAAACTGAGTAGAAACATTAAGTTGCTCTGGTATTTAATAGATGTTAATCTTGAGACCCAACAAATGAGGTAAAAAAACAAAAATACTGGAAAGTCTGCCGACCAGTCAACATGTGATTTAATCCATTAACAGCTCAGACATTCAGAAATAACTATATAACTAAATTAACTGATGAATTATAATAATAAATAATAAATCTCTGGTTAGTTGCTGGGACGGAGTGAGCAGGTCTGAGGTCAGGAGACGGGAGAAGTCAGACCTGGTGTCCCTCTGTGCTCGTTAACAGTTTGATGAATTGAACAGAGAAGGATGACGGCTGAAACGCTGACAAACCCACATTAATAATTAAAGCCATTACTCATCTCTCGGCAAACAGAATAAATGAGATTCATTAGACTTTTCGCAATTAAAAAGAGTTCCAGAGAGCGGCAGAGGAAGAGGAGAGTAATCCTTTGGTGTAAACAGAACGCTGAGAAGGGGCCACTGGCAAATCTCTGCCCAATTAAGATGCAAATACGAGATTCAAACTAGAGACATACACACTGAACGCTTGCTGATCGATAAAAAAAAATTAAAGTGAAGTCAAACAGACATGAATAAACAGATAGATAGAGCTTTGGAAACTGCTCCCTGTGTCCAGGGGGGGAAAGTTACAGGCGTGGTTATAAATAGAAACAGTTTTTCTCCGTTGACAAAGAGAGACGATCTCATTTGAAAATCAAACTCTCCCTGCAGAGTCTAATTGGGAATGGAAATAGAAATGAGGAGGATGGGGATGAGGGAGGGTGTTGGGGTCTCGGCCATTCAAATGCTAACAACAACAAAAAAAATAAAAAAAGATTTATTTAAAACTCACAACAGAAATGACACAACACACTCTGAGGTTCTTGAGCAATATACAAAGCACAGAGCACTAAACTTTGAGGCACAGAGAACGAGAAAGCACAGAAGAGCCACCAGCCAAGTTCACGACACAAACACCGCGCCACGCCACGACCACCACCACCACGAGTACTGCCACAGTACAAATACAAACACTACGTTTCCCAACACGCCTGTGGAGATGCTTCAGGAAGTAATTAAAGTAAGTAATCTCACTTACTTTAGTTTCATTGAAATTATAAAATCTGATTTGATTTCCACCAATGACTCTGCGAAATGTGTCATTGACGTCTGCTGTTGATATCAATGGAAGAGAGTGTGTGTGTGTGTGTGGGGGGGGGGGTGATAAAAGAAAGGGGGCACCCACAGGGGCGGCCATGTTGGTTCCAAGCTCCTCCTCCTCCTCCTCCTCCTCCTCTAGAGTGAAGTTGTCTGTTGATGCAAACGTTCGTTTACAAAATCCGCTGTTTTCTGGCAAAGGTCAAAAGATCCTTCCTGTTTTTGTTGTTGTTGTTGTTCAGTGTGTCAAATGAAGCTTTCGGCCTGAAAGCAGCGCAGCAGCCAAGTGGAGGCAGAGGCAGGTTTTATTATTCACACTCATTTTAACCTTGGTGCAAAAACACAGGAACTACACGCTTGTGTAACTTCCAGCGTGAGGCTTGTTTAAATGTTGGGGTGCTGGTTGCTCTTAATGGAGGTTTGCGCTTCTCGTTTCTCATACGATCCCTGAAACATGGAAATGTTTATTTTTCTCTAACTGTTAATTTTCACTCGTTCAATAAGATTTCTAAAAGAAACACCTCATTCTGCTCAGGGGTTTGTTTGCTTTGCAACAGACGTACAGACCTTAAGATGACGAAGCTAATGCTTAATTAAAAGTACGTCCTGTTGAGATAGAAATTTTAATCTTTAGATAAACTTTGATCAAGTTTTAATTATTTCTCCATTTACTCTGAGTTATATTCTTGCCGCTCTGGTAAAATATTATGTTGTAATAATTAAGTCAAACCAAATATTGGATTATTTGGCTGCTGCACAGCCCTGATGCCAAAAACACATCTGAATGACACAAAAAGAAACCAAGAATGATCTTCTACACATCAGGGAAGTTCAGCCCCGTCAGTGCTCAACAACAACTTCATCCTCGACCCCCTGTGGAGCGTGTGGAGGCAACATGGGGGCGGTTTTACCATCTAGCAGCACAGACACACACCTGACACACCTGTCAGAGAGGACTTAGCCAGAGCACCGATCCCGTAGGTGTTGGTGGACTTCCTCTTGAGACGAGGCAGAATTGAAGTAGTGTCCTCCATGGACAACTGAAGAGACAGAGGAGGGGGAGAGGAAAATAAAGATGGAGAGCAGAGACAGAAATAGAGGTGGAGGGGAGTTATAGAGGGAGGATTGTAGAGAATAAATAATGTGACAGGAAACATGACAAAACAAAGAGGAGGAAGAAAATGGAAGATAAAGAAATTGAGGTGAAGAGAGCAAATGATTGAAGATAGTTTGAGAGAGAAAGAAGAAAAGATGAGGGAGGATATGATCGGAGGAATAAAAAGGACAGTTAATAATTCAGAGCTCTTGTAAATGATGAAGATGTTCTGTGGCTGAAGGGAAACAAAACGATGCTCGGAGCGGTGAAGCAATTTAAATGCACAAAATCCTCATGAAATCTTAGCGATACAGTTTCATCACCAGTGAAATGTAGAATTGATAATATTTAGTAGAAAGTTCATGTGCAATTTAAATTGTTAAAGGCTGCAAAAAAATATTAGTTATTTATTACTTTCACGTCATTTATCATCTTTATTTACACACTCTGTACATAAGTCATCGGTTCATGCAGCCTCGGACAATAGTGTGATGTAATATTAGAATTGTTGGATATTTCTGGCTGTGTTGACTCCTTAACGTTATTCCATACGTTGATGATCCTCTCCGGAAAACAAACTTGATCAGTGTTTGGGAAACTCATTTAAATCCAGAAACAGGAAAAGGGGAGAATCTGATTTGGGCCAGTGCTCGGCACACCGGCCTGAAACGTGCTCACGCTTGTGTGATCTCTGCTGAACTTCCTGGCGTCAGTGCTCATGGCGAACCGAGCAGCAGACTAATGAACCCAGAGACGGATCCCGGCTCCTAACGAGGTTCTCCCAACAGATAATTACAGTGGGACATGGAAGGAGAAACATGTGGACTCTGTTACACGAGGGGGAATCTGTGCTCCGTGTGATGTAACATTTTGAGTTAAGGTGCATTAATTACTGCATGAAGACAAAGTGAGAGGATCTGCTCCCTCTGTGATGTGCACGTGAAGTATCGTCCATGTGCTCTGCTGTCGGCTTCATGCCCTCTGCATGTGACGCTGATGTTACGTTGTGTTGTGGCAGAGCAGTGAGTCTGCAGCTGTTATAACATTGTCATGATGGACATGATCGCCACTTTCTCCTGTTTGTTTAAAGAATATCCCAGATGACGATGCCGACATTTTGCTTTTGACATCATTTGGAGCTAAAATCTAATTTCTGAGATCTGTGGTGAAGTCATCAAATAACTAATTAGAACTCAACTTTCTAGTTGCTGAACGAGAAGAGAGAGCGTCTGGATTCTGGATTCTCTCTAACATGTGATGGGTACTTCCCTGGGTCATTCCCCTCCCCTCCAGATCCTCAATCCTGTTCATCGTGGAATGACGAAGAGAACACATCCTGCTTGGTAGAAGTAATCAGTGCTGCCTTCAATTTAACAAGGCTCCTGTTCACTACAACATTTCTCCTGACCTCTGCAGCGAGAGGAAGCGTGTCTCCGCGAGATAATTTTGCCTCCAGGCACTTTTCGATTTGGTGAACAAAATAAACATGGTGCAAATAAATTCTGCTGAGGGTTCGTAAAGTGCTGAGCAGTCCGGAGCTCTCAGTAAAAACTGGGACTCGTACAAACGCCTGAGTTGTGGATGAGATAAGCTTATTACAGCCTGTTATCTGTGACTCTGTATTTATATGAAGCCGGCACTACAGTAGATTAGCAGAGGGCCGAGAGGGGGGGGAAGAAACGGACAGAGTTTGAGGGGAGAAGTAGAAGAAGAGAGAGGAGGAGGAGTGGCAGGACAAACGAGCAGGATGTCAACTTATTCACTCAAACTCAGGTAGTGCAGGTTTGATGGAGGGGTGGGACAAGAAACGACAGGAAGAGGAGATTTAAACAAGGAGACTTACGTTGATTCCTTCCCAGGAAAACTCGGCACGGCCATGCTGGGGGAGGGAGGGCGGGGGGGGGGGGGAGAAAGATATAGAGGAGGAGATTTCACAGAGGAGATTGGGAACATAGAAAATGGTCTTAAGCTTCAGCTCGGAATTACAGCAATTTGAACATTTACAGTTTGGACATTAAGGCGTCAGCAGTTTCCTTGGTGAATGCAGCACTTTGTGTTTTGGTGGTTGTGCAGTGCGCTCAGAGAAAACTCCTGCAGCACAACTCAGTGTGAGTTTCACAGTTCGCTCCCAGTTATGAACTTCATACCAGTTGTGTTTTCAGTGTTTCAATCACAGACCGGGAATAAAAGATGGACGACGTTTCTCAACATCCTCCCACTATCCAGACATGAAGCCAAAATATCTCGAATACAAACGCCGCCATCTTAGCTGTTGATGTCATTCGGGGCCAGAGTCTGTGCACAGCTGATCGTGGAGCCGTCGTATTGACGTCCGTGGTCTCGACCATTTTTATATCATCAAATAACTTAACTGATCAGAAACACTTGAACAAACATCAGTGTGATAAGAACCAGCTGAAATAACAGAAACCATCTATCTTGAACCTGTTTATTTGACATGTACATTGATTTCTTTGTGTGGTCTATGTCTCATTTACTAACATGGAGGAGGCCAGCTTTATGACCTATACTGCAGCCAGCCACCAGGGGGCGAATGAGATCTTTTGGCTTTATTTTTGGCAGCCGTCATGTCATCCATCTCAATTTACAGTCTGTAATTTAGATCTTTAAATACTGCTCTTAAATTCAAATAGGAAGTCGATCTTTGGAGTCGATGTTTTAATCAACCTGAGAGACATGAACAACATTAAGCTCAGAAATGAATTCTCACCGTGCATTTACACCAGTAAACTGTTTCCTGCAGACACATGCATGAGCTGTGACACGTGTGAAATGTAAAACAGTGATGGCGTGGAGAGAGAGATGGAGAGGACGAGGAGAAACGTAGAAATACGGTGAAATGATGAGGAGTTCTGTGTTTGAGTGTCACCAGCTGCAACATCGCTCTTTGTCCATTTACCTCGAATGTGTAGGTAACCAATGGATACCGTTCAGCGATGACCCTGTTGCTAGGGGCAACATCAAATCTGATGGATGGACGAGCCTGTGCACCGTCAGTTCAGTGAACTCACACGCAAGCAGTGAAAAAACTGATTTAACTTAAAGAGCTAGTTCAATTTTGACTTACGTGAATTTGAGAAGACAAGTCGAGGAAAGTTTGTAATTATTTTAAGCAAATTCACTTTTTTAAGAGTTTAGTTCAACTCAAATCCTTTAGTTAATGTAACTTCATGACAACTACATTTCTACAGAGTCACGTTGAAACTAAAACTATTAAGTTAATTGGACTTAAAAACGGGGTTTGTTTGCTTTAGATGATAATTTGAATCAGTACGAGACAGATTTTTTTACTTTTGTATTTTCTCCGGTTAAAGATTCAGTTTCAGTCAAAGACAGCATGTGAGCTTTTAACTCCCAAGCAATGCATTCTGGGAAGTCAAGGAGATGTTAATAAGCCTTTTTTTTTTTTTTCCCAAAACTAAATTAAATGAGTTAGAGTCATTCAACTCATCATCTCAAGTCAAAGGAGCTTAACATTGAATTCTCTTCACAGTGAATACAATATATATCTAGATATATACAGATAATCATGCATAGTCATGGATATGTACAACCGACAGCAACGGGAACATTTGTTTTGTTTGCTCTGGAGATTTGAAATGCTCGGCTGTCAGAAGGATTTTCTTTTTGTCCCGCTGGCCCTCGGAGCTTGTTATTATCCTTTTGTAGTTCAAAGTCACAGATCACAGACTTGGATGGAACAAAAAAAATGGCCTCAACTTTGTGTCAGAGTAAAATGCCAAACTCATAATGTCACCAAGCTGGTGCTGGTCACCACAGAGGTGGGTCCAACAGAGCTGAGACTCAGGAGGGTGATTTCAGGAAAGCTCCCTCACATTAAAACAGCCTTGTTTTGATTTCGTCTTTTAGTTGAGTTCTGTGTCGATCAGCAGAGACGTGACCGACAGCAACAACAAGTTTATCACACGAATCGATCAAGTCCGCAGTATTTCATCCTTCCTCTTATTGCAGTTGTTGAGGATACTTTTATTTCACGCAGCGTCTCGTCCGCTGCAGCTGTAAAGATGCATCATCGGTTTCACCGAGACTCATTCAAGATCGGAGATTGAGGGAAAAAGTAATTGAGCGGGTCGGGAGCCTTTTCGTTATTGTATCATTCCTGGTGACGGTGCGGACAGCAGGTCGTCTAAACAAACAAAGCAAATATTAATAAAAATGGAAATGCACTAACAACAGGGCAGGTGGACGACGGGCAGCCTCATTTGAATTTGGCAATAAGAGAAAGAATAAGAAGAGAAAACCTGAGCCAGTGGTGATAAAACATTAAGATGGAGCTGGGTCCGTCTGTATTTATTCATGCTTTAATCAGCAGCTGCTGGGCACGGAGCATATCTACATGAGTGAATGTGAATGTGGCCCAGACTGGTTTAAGGCCTTCCTGCCTCCCTGATTAACATTTTTCATCCAGTGTCAAATACGGGGGTCGGTTCACAAATTGAAACCGTGGTTTATTTTTCATGACAAGTGAATGAGGAATAAAAATAATCCTGCTCCAACAAAGCAGCCCCTGAGATGTGGCACAGGGATTAAGCAAAAGCCCAAGTCACCGGTCGACTCGGTTTATATGTATATCAATATAAATATATAAATATTTCCACATTAACAAGCATCTGGGGAATAAACCGAGTCACTGACGAACACACCTGGGTCAAAATAGATTGTGGTGAAATATACTGAACACACATTAATCGCTCACACCGCTGACAGCATAAACTGAACTAATTGAATGATGCTTTATTTAATCTGCAAAGTAATGAACGTGCTGAGCAGTGGAGCCAGAGTTCGGACTGGAGCAAATTAATCTTTCACCGCTGAGGTCTGAGGCGGCGCAGAGGAGTCGTCTCCCCCTGATTTAAATGTTTTATGATATTATGTCTCTCCACAACAGCTCTGTGTTAACTCTGTGTTTAGTTAAATGTTAATGTATTCAGTGTTAAAGACACTTTGAGGCATCTGTGACCTC